CAGCTTCGCAAAAAAAACCCCGCCCATCAGCTGTTCTTAGGGGCTCTCTCTCTCCACCCCCTGAAACACAGCTGATCGGTGGGGGCTTTGTGATGATTGTGGGGAAGCGCTTCCCCACAATCATCGCAAAGCGATTTCCCCCCATTTAAAACATCGTAATACGATAGCTTTTGCGATCGCAAAAGATCAAACGTTGTGCGGATTTATTGTTAAACGGGGCACTCGTTAAACGAGGCACCACTGTATTCATTTTCATTGGCTATAAACATTAGCTTATATTGATTCTATTACAGAGAGAGTTTTCTTGTTTTCACCATAATGGGTGGCGGTTGATTCCAGTGGAACCCCAACAGTCCTAGTTTTTGTTTCCAACAGATCACAGCAAATTAATTTACTTGGCCTCTACTAGTATATGTCATATAAAAATGTGTGTGTGTGTGTGTGTGTGTGTGTGTGTGTGTTTTAAGTATGTATAAAATCCTGTGAATACAAAACAGTTCAAGGAAAGAGTCCACACAAACTTCATGTTTGCTTGCCTTTCAGATGAGGTGGTTTGGATTTCTTAGCCATGGTACCACCCTTTCTCATATAACGATCTGTAGCAAAATGACTTCTGCAAAAGGTTGCACTTGCATGTTGCTGCTACATTGCTTCTCCTGGATAGTTGTGATTAAAGATTAATTTGCTTTACCCACCATACTAGTACTGAATAGCTGTTGTTCTCTTTGCATGATGTGGTTTTCTGGTTAACTACTGGTTATCTACTGACATAGGACAGCTTTAGATGCATCACAGCTTTAGGTTCGTAGACTCTGTATGCCTTTTCGAATAATCAGATCAGTCTGGGAATTACTATCCACCATTCTTCCACTGATAGCCATTTATATCTAAGATAGTTGTACAGCAGAAATTTGTTATTAAAGATGAGATCATTAACAGCTGCAGTTTCTTGGCATTTTGATAATAAGGGCTATTTGTTTTTCTGCAAGTATTTCTCATTTTCATGCCTCTTTAAATGAATTTTATAATTAGGTTTTCTTAATAGAAATCATTAATGAAACTGAGAAAACATGGAAGAATTCATGTGATAGCAGAGCTGTCACTTTGGATGTGTGTGACCAGGTCTTTGAACCAGGATGAAGAAAATGTATAGGGTGAAACAATTTGCTTCAAGAAGGGAACAGACCCACCCACCCTAAAGATATATGTCTCCTCCAGCCACTTCTTCCCATGTAGAAGAAAACCTAAAACAGATGGGTTCATCATGCTACCAGTACAGGCACTACAGACCTAAATGTTCCTCCTCATTTCTTTGTTCTCTTCCCACAAATGCCAGTCTTACAGAACTCAAGACTAGAGATGCACAATAGTTTCTCTTCTGAAATTTGTGTCAGATCCCACATTCATAAACTAGAGCTTTGTGGCTTTTTAAAGAATTCATCAACCAATAGAGCAGCAGAGTTCAGGCACCAAAATTCTTAGTTACAGCTTTGTGGCGCTGTAAACTATACTGGCAATATTACATTAACAGTACAATGATGATGATGATGATGATGATGATGATTGATTGTCCGATTGATTGATTAATCAATCAATCAATTAATTAATTAATCAATTAATCAATTAATTAATTAATATGCTGCCCACACTACCCAAAGGTCTCTGGGCGGCTTGAAATGCTTATTTGGCAGTGTGAATGCAATTAAATGAGTTTGTACAAATCTGGTGTCAATATTATTTCTATTAGAGCATATGGGATTTGTATCTGTTACCTGATTTCTTTCATAACCAATACGTTGTGTTCCTACATATGTTTTGTTTGCTTTCTTATGTAGTTCCATGCCATGGATACCTTGCACAAAAATGTCTATGACATTTCCAAAGCAATATCTGCCCTTGTGCCACAAGGCGGACCTGTTTTGTGCAGGGATGAAATGGAAGAATGGTCTGCTTCTGAGGCAAATCTCTTTGAAGAAGCCCTTGAAAAATATGGAAAAGATTTCACTGATATTCAGCAAGATTTTGTAAGTAGGCAAATGGCTTTGCATTGTATTTGCATCCTTCTCCAGTTAGAGGATACTTGATGCATTACTACATAATCATAGTACAGTTGTCAATTACATGCGGTTCTGTTACAGTGTTAATGTGGAATGGAATAGAATTAAAGGCACGTTCTTTGTCAGAATAAAAAGTTTTGATATAAGGCATAATGTGAATAATGAGGGGTTTGTCTTGGTTTTTTTAAATTGTGATGATGATGATGATGATGATGTGATGGATGATGATGATGATGATGATGATGATGATCCACTGCTTTGAACAAGTTATGAACACTTTGTTGCTTCAAAGATAGTTTGGTCTGAGATTCATATTATGGCACAGGTTTTCTAAAGCATGAAAAACAATTTTAAAATGAAATTTAATCCAGAGTATTTTGGCCCAGTTATACTAAAAATGAGAGGAGGGGAATACCCAGATGTTCCCAATGAATTTCAGCAAAGCTGTAAACTTGTCTGGTGATAGCTTCCTTTTTATTCATTCATTGGAAAGCCAGTGTATGTAGTGATGGACACCTGGATTCAGATCTCTGTTCTGTTTCCAGTCTCACTAGCTGATCTTCAGTCAGTCACATGATATCAGCTTGATCTACCTCACAAGGTTATTGTAAAAATTAAATAGAGAGAAAGAAAGCATTGTATGTTCCTAGAGCTTATTATAGGAAAAACGGAGTATAAAAGAAAGAAAGAAAAAGAAATTCATAAGGAAGCTTATTGTAACATCTCCACTAAAATAATCCTAGCTAGAAATGAATTAAAAAGGCAAATAGTAATCAAACTGTTTGTGGTTAAATAGTTTGGTGCTGTCCATCTGGAACAAATTAGAATCATAGAATCATAGAAAAGTGAAGTTGGAAGGGGCCTACAAGGCCATCAAATCCAACCCCCTGCTCAGTGCAGGAATACAATCAAAGCATATCTGCCAGGTGATTATCTAAGTTTTTTCTTGAATGCCTCCGGAGCTGGAGCAGTCACCAGCTCCCACGGTAGCTGGTTTCACTGTTTTACTGCTCTAACAGTTAGGAAGTTTTTCCCGATATTCTGGCTTCCTTTAACTTCAGCCCATTGTTGCATGTCCTGCACTCTGGGATGGTCAAGAACAGATATTGCCCCTCCTCTGTATGACAGCCTTTCAAATATTTGAAAAGTGATATCATATCACCCCTCAGCCTTCTTTTCTCAAGGCTAAACATGCCCAGTTCTTTCAGCCTTTCCTCATAGAGCTTGGTTTCCAACCCCCTGATCATCCTTGTTACCCTCCTCTCAACTTGTTCCAATTTGTTAGCATCCTTCTTGAAGTGTGGTGTCCAGAACTGGACACAATACTCAAGGTGAGGCCTAACCAGTGCTGAATAGAGGGAGACTAGCACCTAGTGGGATTTGGAAACTGTACTTCTATTAATGCAGCCTAAGATAGCATTTGCCTTTTTTGTAGCCACATCACAGTGTTGGCTCATATTTAGCTTTTGATGTACATATTCGGATGTACTGTATTTGTGTTCACTATTGTTCAGAGTACTCCAACATTTCAGAAGCTACTTATTAGACTGAGAATCTTTTAGACAATTGAAAATACATATTGGATGCTACTTTCTTCCTTTGTCTTAGGAGTTGTCTTTCCTGTTTTATTGGCTTCTAAATAACTAATTGGCTACTAAATAAGATGCAGAGTAGTTTCTCTATAGTTCAGAACTGATGCTATCATTAAGCAAAGTGAAGCAGCTGCCTTGGTTGGCAGATGTTGCAAATAACAGGAAAATCCCCTGGGTCATTTTTTCCTGTGCTGAAGTAAAAGACACCTACCAATCTATTAAGGTTCTGTATATGAAGAGGGCAGATGATGTCTTGTCCTTTTTGTAGGAAGTAAAAAGACTTACCCTGCTCCTGCTATCATGTGCTGTCCAGGCTGGAAAAAACATTTAATATTAACCCTGTTTTTTTTTAGCAAGTGTGTCATTTTTACTGCCATTCCTAGCCCCATACAAAGGTAAATAAATGGTTCATAGTTTTGGAAACGTGGTTCCTGGTTAAGAACTTTTTAGCCCTGTTTTTATGTTCCAAGTAATCTATGTTTTGTTGGTATGAACTTGTATATTTGACACCTCAGGTTTTCTTTTCTAGCTTCCATGGAAATCCTTAACAAGCATAATTGAGTATTATTATATGTGGAAAACAACAGATCGGTATGTTCAACAGGTAAGTGCTATGCAGTGCATTGACATCAAAGAACTATTCTTGCTTTGTACTTGTAAATGGATTCCTCTTGTAGTATGATTTTTAAATTTCTATGGTCAGTTTTGCTGATACTATCTGGATTATATAAAGTTTTCTTTCTGTTTGAAATGGTGTGTAGACATATGTGATTGGTAAATGGCTTGTATCAGAAAAGAATAACTATCTGGATTGGTTGTTGTTGTGGGCTTTTCAAGCTCTTTGGCTGTGTTTTGAAGGTTGTTCTTCCTGATGTTTTGCCAGTCTCTGTGGCCGGCATCTTCATGGACAGAGTACCTGCTCCAGTCCTCTGAAGATGCCGGCCACAGAGACTGGCAAAACATCAGGAAGAACAACCTTCAGAACACAGCCAAAGAGCCCGAAAAACCTACAACAACGATTAGATCCCAACCGTGAAAGCCTTCGTGAATATTTCTGGATGGATGTTGGGTGACAGGGACGCCTGGCCAACTCATACCTGGAAGAAGCATAGCATGGCTATCTGTCACTGAGACCCATTAGTTTTTTTTTGCTAAAACAAACAAATACTGTGTCATGTTTTCTGCTCTTGAGTTAATTAGTTGTTCTACCCATTTTCCTATTAGGACTTTGCAATGGAGTTTGATATCTTCTGTTAAGGCTAAAGTTTAACAGCCTGAAAAAACAGGGTATGAATGCTTTAAATAAATATTCATGTTACATATGCTGAGAAGTTTGGGGAGTTTTTTAAATTGCTCAGTAAAAGTGTGATGTGCAAGAAAAACCTCTGTCTTTATAATAATAGTGCTCTTACAACATGACAGAATATTTTACTGAAAGTCAGAAGGCTGAGTCCTTCTGTGGATTCACAGAATTTCATTTTTCAAGAATGAATAAGGAATGTTTTTATATCACAAAAAGATTATGAATTAGTGTATTTCCAGATAGTGTGTTGGACTTGTAGCAATGCAACGGTGCTTTCCTACAAGTCTTCTCTTTTAAAATATTGAGGCTTGGGCCTGTAGAACCCCCGGGCACCACAATGGAAAATTTTAGTCCTCCCTGCCCCGGAGTCACATTTTTTTTGTTGCAGAATTCACACAGAATGATACCTATGATGTAGGCTTTCTCTCTTTGGGGAAAAATCCCAACAAATCTTTTGCTTGTTGAAACTATATATTTTGTCCTAAGCAGTGTAACAAATTGGATATTAAACATGTTCATGCCGTTTTTCGATGAACCACGGTGTAGACAAGCAGAGATTGCTTGCTCTGGTTGTAATAGGTTGGCCCCATTCAGAGGGAAAGGGGTTAGAATTCCCATTGCCTCAGGATCAGACCTTAGAAAAATTGGTTATAAGTAACTTAAAATACTTGCAACTACTTATTTTTGATAGAACAATGTAATTAGTAGTAACAGAGTTACATTTTAGGTTTACATGTAATACATGCTTACTTTTAAGATAATTTTAAAGGCAGTTGAAGACATTTTGACAGACATTTTAGGTTGCCATTCTCTCACCAGTCATAAGTGGCAAGGAAAGTATCCTTTTGGTGGTTTTTTTCCTTTTGTGTTTTTATAAATATTTCCATGGTGCAATATCTGAATTGACCACTAGAGAGACAGGAGAATATGTCCCTGTATTTTTCTGGCCTGTTGATTAGACCAATGAAATGTGTTAAACACACTATTGTAATTAATTACTAGTGTGATCAGAGCAACAGTAACAGAAGCATGGCTGCCATGAAGTAATGTGTAACATCGTAAATTCATTTTAAAATGTAGTATTCCACATTTTGGTTAGGATGTACACAAATGTATATAAAACTCTAAACCTGCCTCTACTTATTGGGACTAGGGAATGCCTTCTAATTTACTCAGTTATTAGGATTTTGTACCCTGATGCATAGGTTAATAGCATTCTCAAGTAAACCTTGCAGTTGGGGAGTGCTGCATTGACTGTAAAACAGTAGCAGCTGCCACCAAAAATAAAACTGCAGTTTCTCCCACCTCTGTACCTTATAGAAATTCAGTGCTTTGGTTCCTGTGGCATAGGGATGGGGTTGATGTTACGCCTGCAGACAAGCTTATGCGATGAAAAATATCAGTATTAAGGGAATTATCTGCACAATGTAATAAAATGTTGCTTTCAAATCGTGGAATAGGATAGCTTAAATGTATAATTTCTAGGGTAAATATGCTTAATTCTACTTTCTGGAATGGAAGAGTATGGAAGTGTTTCTACTGAAAAATTGTCTCAGTAGTTTTTTCCTCATGCAGATTTCTCTGACCTTCAGTCACAATCAACATAAGATATAGTGTTCATCCTTTCTAGGATGAATCAGATGTTTCAAGGACTACTTGCTGAAGTTTCCCCAGGATGCCTAAGGCATTCTTCTGCTAGGCTCTCTGTTTTAAGCGTTCTTCAGAACAGAACCACAAAATCTGAGGTTCGATAATGAAACTTACACTTCCATAGGTACATTCTACTGTATGCCTGTTGTCAGCATGGGACACTCTTGGTCCTGTGTGAGGACATCCTTGCACTGCACCGGGTAACAGGAATGGCAGCAAATGTTTATTATTACTTACCTTCTTGTGGGTACAAACTACCAGGAACTCAGTTAACAATCTCTCTTGAGATTACCATAATTCAGGGTACCTAATGCAACTGCCATCTTCTGAATGAGCCAAAATGACATTGAGGAACATAGGGGCAGAGGTAGTTTGTGTTATCCAAGAACTACTCTCAAAATGCTAATCTAACGACAGTGTCACCTATGCCTATTTAGCAGGGGAAGGACAGGGTCCTCAAGTGTTTCACATTGGATGGAATGCCCAGGCTAGGTTGTGTCCAGCAGTCAGACATGAGCTAGGAGCCAAGGGGAAATGTTGGGGCAACCCAGATAGCCTAATTGAGGATGAACACTAGAGTGAATCAGAAGAAGAGCACTGGCATCTTACACTGTGCTGGAACGTACGTGCAGTAGAGGTAGCAGACAGTGCTGGTTCCACCACTAATATACACATTAGAGGTGGAAAGTTAAAAGCAAGAAAGCAGTAGCATGTGAGTAGCACTTCCATCAATGCTGCCACTTCAGATATGCATACAGTTGGCCTGCCGCCAAACAGTAAGGTGCTGGTGACTAAGGCAAGGAAGATACTTTGCTGGGGAAACATAGGCGTTTGGAGAACAATTTTTAGGAATAATCCCTCAGAATTTCACTAGTGTTCTTAACTTTAATGTAAGAGTTTTTCTGCCTTTCAGACAGAAGCCATGTGTGAGTGTGCACGACCTGAGCAGGAACTTTTAGAAATCATTGATTCATATGGATCCCATAAATTAGAATTGACTTGACAACAGATAAAACCACAATTTGTTTGTTTAAAATATTTTACCCACCTTTCTTCTTAAAGATGACACTTATTTCAGACAGACAGTATTTTTCAGATGTTAAATAGCATTTTATTTTGCCTTGGAAACATAAGCACATGAGGTTTGCAAAACCATATTAAATGCCTTGCCTCAATAAACTGACACACAAATACTCTGCTGCTGTTCTTTTTGGGCCTGTGTCTGTTATTGAACCTTGCTATCTAAGTGTGTGAATTAATTGTGTTCATGTGTTGATTAATACTTGCAGCTTTGTTGAAAAATAGTATTCACAAACTAAATAAATCTATAATGCTAACAAAAGGAATGAATGTCAGTCCCGTTTCTAAGAGGTGAATTGACTTGTTTACTAATAAATTTATAATTTTAATCAGACAAGATAATGTAAAGCCAGCTGAGCCTACACTACTCCCGTGGAAGCTGTTCTGACTCCAAACCCCTCTCAGCCGAAGGATGTTGGAAATTACTTAGGACTACCCTTGCCTGCATAATGGCTGGGTCCTTTTAAATGGAGTTGGTTTCGATCAAAGATAACTTAGCTTTTCCCTCACCCTTCTCCTCTATTTCTGTTTTTTTGCCTTTATGTCTTGACTAGAAAAAGAGAATTGTCCCAGCCAGTGGGCATTTCTGCCAATAAAAGGTTTTTGCCAGCACAAGAAGCTAATTCCAACCTCATAAAGCCAGTACTTCCTTGTATAAGGATTGCATTGCCCAGTAGCTTTTAATGGTACACATTAAAAAGGGGAGAATGTTTCTGTTTTACTTAAAATTGATGTGGATTTTGTTTGTTCTAATATGCTTCTGTTTTTGTTTTTATATTAAGAAAAGGTTGAAAGCTGCTGAAGCAGAAAGCAAGCTAAAGCAAGTATATATTCCTAATTAGTAAGTCCATATCATTTCATATATATTGTATATATGAGGTGAGGTGAAAATGTAACAGCTCTTTCTACTTGAATGGAAACATATTTCTTGGAGTGTCTAATAAAGGAACCAGTGCTGAACTAATGTATCATATATATGCTGCCATTAAGAAGTGTTTCTTGTGCAGCCAGAAATGAAAGATGAACCTTATTTTGTCAGATATGTATGTCTCAAACCTGTGACCAAACCAGCTTTGATTTTCATAGTAATGCCAGATTATTTATTATTTTGACGTGTATACCATACCATTAGTGCAAACACTCTATAGTAGACTTTTAAATTATCCTTGTGCAGTCAGTGACTGTTCAGTTCCACAGGAATATTATTGTTTATTCTAGAGGAATATATTACAGAATAATGGGAAGTAGGATGTAAATAAAATATTTTTATGATTGCTTGCTGTAGAAAGCTTAGTTGGTGTCTGAAATTGTATAACACTGGCTCCTGCTTCCAGCATGTTTTTTGGGGCAAATAAACTGGTACCTTTTTGGCTCTGACATTTCTCTGCCTATGTTTGCTGCTTAGAAAGTAAATGCTTCCATTCTTCTTGAATTTGTCAGTAACCAAACCTCTCTTCACTGTATATTTAAAGAAGAAAAGAGAGAGGATTTATTTGGTTGGTTGGTGGGTTGGTGGGTGAGGTAGGTAGGTAGGTAGGTAGGTAGGTAGGTAGGTAGGTAGGTATGTAGGTAAAAGGAATGGCCAAATGTTGTAAATATTAAGTGAACTGAGAATGCCATGACAGGTTTGCCCCTTAACCCCATTAGACATTTCCATCACACGTACAAAATATAGTAAAATTAAAGGTCCTGGCATTTTCTCTGAAAAAAGAAGAAAAAGAAATGTGACCTCCAAGTTTGCAAGGCTGGCAGATCTTTTGCAAAGAAGTCTAAGAAAATATTATCTAAGATTGACACTTCTGTTTCTAGTTTAGATAATTTAAGAGATTAAAACATAAATTCTGTAAGTATATTTACACTGGCTGATAGAGTTGGTGGCCAAAATTTAGCTACTTAGCATGGTAAATTTCAGTATAATAGGCCCATTGATCAGTGGGGATTTAGTGAGTCCACTCCTCTGTAAATTCCATTGATTCAAATGCTAAAGTTAGCTGCAACTGGAGTAGGCTTATTGGGATTAATAGAACCAGTGGAAGAGTTGACTCACCAAATTGCCACTGAGTCAGTGAACCTATTATTATTTTACTATTTATTAGTTAAATATTTTTACCCTGCCTTTCTTCTTTAAAGAACCCAATGCTATTTACATAATCAAGAGACAATATTAAAACTAACATCAGTGAGTATACAAATACTAAAAAGTATCAGATAAACACCATACAAAAAACATTAAAAGGTCAAGGTGCCCCTTGACAATTTGTCCAGTTGTGTCCAACTCTAGGCGGCGGTATTCATCTCCGTTTCCAACCCATAGAGCTAGCGTTTGTCCGCAGACAATCCTCCGTGGTCATGTGGCCAGCGTGACTAGACATGGAACGCCATTTGCCTTCCCACTGAAGTGGTACCTATTTATCTACTCCCATTTTTGCATTTTGCATGCTTTCGAACCACTAGGTTGGCGGAAGCTGGGACAAGTGACGGGGGCTCACTCCGTTGCATGGATTCGATCTTACAACTGCAGGTCTTCTAACCTTGCAGCACAGAGGCTTCAGCGGTTTAACCCGCAGCGCCACCATAAACAACACCAAAACACATTCAAAGCAATAAGGTACAACAATTCATTAACAAACCCAAATCAGGCAGCCAGCCACTCAGGGAAAGCCTGCCTGAAGAGAAGGATGGTTAGGAAATTTGCCTGTTTGCAAAGATGGGCCTGGATTAGCCTCCTGTGGGAGGGAGTTCTAAAGTTTGAGAACAATAACAGAGAAGGTCCTCTCCTGTGTATTCACCAAATGAACCTGTGAAGGTGGCAGGACTGAGAGAAAGGCCTCCTCTCCTGCTGATCTTGGCACTTGAGCAGGGTCATAAAGGGAGATGCTGTCCTTGAGATTGCTTGGGCCCAAGCCATTTAGTGCTTTATAGGTTAGAAGCAGCACCTTGAATTCAACCCAAAAATGAATTGGCAGCCAGTGAAGCTGCTGTAAGGGGTGGGGTGGGGGAAATTACGTGATCCCTGTAACCAAACCAAACCAATCTGGCTGTTGCGTTTTGGATCCACTGACGGTTCCATAGGGAGCCCCACATAGAGTATGTTACAGTAATCCAGCCAGAATGTGATTAAAGCATGTGTCTTCGTGACCAGATCAGACCTCTCCAGGGTGTACAGGGGATCATGTGGGATTTATTGGATTGCCAGTTTTAGAATAAATTGTGGGATTCAGCAGAAGTATCCCAATGGATTTTTGCCAAGGATTGTTTTAGTTATAAATGTCATAAAAATGCCAAATAGTTCAATTTTATATACTAACAGAGTAGTAAATAAAGCACTGGATGTTGCTTAAGCAGCATATTAAGTTCAGTTGCAATGTGAAAATAAGTATTAGATATATTTCAACTTTGCCCAAGATTTCTCAGGAAAAAATAGGGGGATTTTTTTTCTCCATAGACTGCAAAATCTTTACAAAATGTAAGTCTGTGCCTTGGAATAAGACTGAGTAAATTCACTGATGTTTACATATGAGTAAATTGCACTATCGATGGGTTTTTGGCATGAGAGATGAACAGAATACAAAACATTCTTCCCTGCTTAATGAGAGTATTTTGTGTTAAGTAGCAAAGTATATCAAATCAAACAGTAGAAGTGGAAAGTATTCAAGCTTTATATATTCTGTCTGAAGTCTTAGAATGCTGCATCAAAGCTCAATGTTAAAGTACTGTATACTAATTTCTACTTTCTGTTTTTTGTATTAAGTAACAAGCCAAATCCCAACCAGATCAATGTAAACAGCATCAAGCCAGGAGTGGTAAATGGTACAGGAGTTCAGGCACAAAACATGGGAACAGGACGAGCTTGTGAAAGCTGCTATAGTAAGTGATTTGTGAATAGCACAGTTTGTGGAAGAAAAGGGGGTGAAATGGCTTTGCTGAACTGTCAACAGCAGTGATTTAAGGCCAGAGTTGTATGACATTTTTACAAGCACTGGTCCTTTACTTTTTGGAGGATCCTTTCTTTTCCCATTCACTTTCCCTGCGAAGCTGTATTTGTTATTCATTTGCCAAGTATAGAAACAAGTATTTCTCGAAGGTATCACCTCCTCTACATTTGAAGTATTTCTCAGTCACTTACCTATTAACTATGATGGAGGTTAAAGGAGAATAATCCCAGCTGTATAGGAAACAGTCTGTTTTAACATGCTCAGGAACCTGCATTCTCACAGAACTATTAGTCAGGTGAAAGAAAACAAAATCTGAGGTAAGTATAGCAGTCCCTCCCTGATAGAGTCTTAGTCTCATTGGAGACTATAATTGTTATATAGGTACAGAGGAGATGATGAAAGGAAATGATGTATTAGGTTACACTAATTTATCCAAGCAGAGAGCTTCAAAACTGAAAATTTTAGTGTCACAACATGGGGTGATAGCTTTCAAATGATGATATCTAAACCCTGTTGTGAAAGGAATTAATGAAGGTAGAGTTGCCAGCACACACCTATAACCGTAGAATTTATTAAACCAGAAGCAGTATTACAGAGACTGCATGGAACTCTTTCTTGCTAATTTCTAATTTCACAAATCAGCCTAGGCATAAAGCCTTTATACAATTGTTTTGTAAACAGTTCTATATAAAAAGTGTCCTGTTCTCTGTTTCCATAACAAACCTACAAATGTCCTTTCTAAGTCTGCTATTAAACTGAATCTGAAGATGGCAATGTGATTTCTTTATTGTGATGCAAAGAATGACATTGCAGTATAAAAGATGTTTCTGTGTATTGTATTTGGACATTGAATAGTTTCTCTTCATTTACAAATGAATGAATCCTGATTTAGTTAGACTGATGCAATTATATAATTTTTATTTTTGCTGTTCCTAGTGACACAATCTCACCAGTGGTATTCTTGGGGTCCTCCAAACATGCAGTGTCGTCTTTGTACATCCTGCTGGACATACTGGAAGAAATATGGTGGCTTGAAAATGCCAACTCGACTCGATGGAGAACGGCCAGGGCCAAATCGCAACAATTTGGTATGTATATTCACAGTGTTCGTTTACTGTTCAGTAGACTCAGGCCACAAGAATTAAAGGAAGAGAGATGAGGCAGCATCTTAGTTGCATGTCAGTTGCCCTCAGTGTTCTCAAAGATTCTGATGTCTCTCTGTGGGTAAAGTGACATAAACGGAGGGGGGAAATGCATTTGCGTTTGTGGTGAGAACTTCAGATTGCAAGATATTTGACAGCCTTATCCCGGCATGAATTTTGTCTGTAGCTGCACAGTTTTAGTAGCACTCTAACATACTTCAGCACTACATCTGTATCAAAAATTGTGCCCACATTTACTGCATCTTCCTACTCCATTCCAGATCCTTTGCTTTCTAGCACTGTTGTTTCTCTCCTTATTGTCCCTTCTTTCAACAGTATAGCTCTACTTTCCTCCTCCTGTTCTGATTCCCCTCAGTTTTCTTTCTGTTCTATTTCTTTTCCTATCTTTTCTTCAGATCCTGTGTCTCTTCCATCTGTTCTTTTCTCAGACTCCTGTATCATAGTCTCCTGCTAAGTCTGCTTCCTTCCTGTGGCCACGTTGCTTCTAACTCCCTGGCTCTTGAGGTCTTACTAAGCTTGCCTACCTTGCTAACACAGTTTCTTGTGTTCTAGAGCCAGTAGGAGGTTTTAATCCTATAATGACAGACAGACAGGCATCTCTGTTTTTAAGAACTCTTTCTTAGGCAGCCAATTACTACGAAAAAGCTTGCCTGAAGAGAAGGCTGTTTACCTGCTTGTGAAAGGACAGCAAAGAAGTGGGTAGCCTTGGGAGCAGTGGAAAAGAAGGCCCTCTCTCATGTTCTCACCAACCTGTGAGTGTGGCAGGACCATGAGAAAGGCCTCCCCTGATGATTTTGAAACCCAAGCAGGCTCACGTCTTCGGTTTGCTTAGCAATGACCCCTTCTTCCAAGACCAGTGACTGCTTCTTTTATGGTTTTTTCCAGCACTGGCCACATTCCTTTGTGAAAAACTCCATGGGGGTGATCTACATTGTGCATTTTTATGAACTTGCCTGTCATCTCAAACTATTTAAGATAGGTGGACATTCTACTAGAGAGGCTAGGTTTATATCTCTTCCACCAATTTTGACAAAAGATTTTCAGTTTTGACAAAATGTGTATACCAGCCATTTGGGTCACTCTTTCAACCATTCTGAAACATAATAAGTCTTTCAATCTAGAAAAGATGCACATCTTGGTAAGGATATCAACTCCCAAAATCCTAGACCATTATACTATCTGAGGCTATTGGAACTTAAAGCTCTCAAATATCCAGAGGGACAAGGTTGAAAACCAGACACATTGGAATGTTCAGGATCAAGCTCTCTATGAGTGCACATCCCATATGAATGTTTATGGAGATCACCAATCAAGCAAGGATTATTTCTGACCAAACCACAAATTTGCCTTTTTCTAGAGCCCTCACAGTGTACCCATAAGAAACAGCGCAAGTCCCAAATTTGCTATGAAAACACGACAAGCTTTCTACCTACACACAACAAAACTGACCAGGTTTGCCAGACGGTTGTGTAGGGACATCTTGCGTCCATTGCATGCAGCACGACATCCCCACACACCTATCAACAGTGCCGCAATCAAAGCAGAATGTGAGTTTTTGCATATCCTAATTGTACACTTTTAACTTAGCTTTTAAATACAGTACCTTTTTTAAAATGATTAAGTGGAAGATCTGAAGTATGACATTAAAGGGAACACTGAACGGCCAGGTATAATCTCACTATGTATTCATATGTAAGTGAATTGTAGCCACCGAAAAATAAGAAAACAGTACTGTATATATACTTAAAGTTACCTAGATTCATAGAAAATATTAGTTGGTTTTAAAAACTGGGTGTTGGGGGAAACCACAGAAAGCAACTGAAAAAGAACCTGCAAGCATACATGTTGCTACTGATTGAGCATGTAGAGAGAGGGAAGGAAAGGGCATATTTTCCTTCTTTCCGGGTCTGTGTGATCTTATTGTTTAGCAGGTAACTACGCAGCTTTGGAGTGGTGTCCCTTTAGGCTGTACAGCGCAGCAGGGTGAAAATCTTGGATGTTTGGAGAAAAAAGGGTAGTTCATCCCTGCTCCCCTCCCAAACCTACAGCTCCTACAAGAGTCCTGGACAGTGTTCCTCATCTCCTATTGCAAGCACACTGGTGCTCTGGCAAGGACAATTCTCTTAGGGAACGGGGATACACTGCAAGATTGTATTTCAGGTCCCACTTGTCTTAAGTGTTATTGTTTGTACATTCCATTCTGTAGATATCCTTTCTAGCAAGACATTTTAGGAAAGTTTGGCTTTTCACACCCTGAAATACTACTGAGAGATACTATTTGTTTGCTAATATGTAAATTAAGTATTTTTTGTTGCCTTCAGGTGCAGCTCGTTTACCGGATGCTTCAGAAAATGTGTTGTCACTAAAACAAATTGTTAGAAAACCTTTAGAAGCAGTACTTCGATATCTAGGTAAATAGACTACTGAATAATTTTCTGATCCCTTCACATATTTTCCTATGCTTGACCTATAATCTAGCCTAGAATGATAATATTATTATTGTTCAATTACATAAGATCTGTCAAATTTCTTTCTATGTTTTCCACACAGTTTTACCCTCATCCGAGCATTGAATCTGGATGCTTTGCCTACTTTATTTTCCCATAAGAATAAAGAGTACATTGTTTTCTTGAAAAGGTTAAAGACATTGGTCAGAATCTTATTGAGTTTTTATACTGGCATAAAGGCCATGGTATAAACGGTGGCAACAGGTTGTTGATAATTAAATTGTTGCTTCTATCCTTGTTCTGCACCTCTTATGTGAGGTGGTGCATAACAAAGGCTACAAGAAGCAACTTGTAAAGTAGCAGCTGTTTACCATTGCAGTTTACCCCGTTGCACTTATGCTTGGGTGGTTAATTGCATTCTAGACAAATAAAAATATGTAGGTAATGTTGCAAATGAGAATTAGGGTCCACACAAAACAACAACAGCAAAGAGAGGTTGAAAGAAGGCACCATTTTAAAAACAGTCATTCTTTCTAAAAAGTACTTCAGCTGCACAAAGTGGTATATTGTGTGTGGCCTTAAGCATGTAATCTAATAGTCTGTGCCTCCTGTCCTTCCAAGTTGTCTTTAGGAGAAATCAGGTCTCCCAGTCTCCACAGTTTTCTCCACATTGTGCATAACCTATTTTACATTTAAATTAATATTTATTTTATATTGCTTCATTATATGTGTAGCTGTTTTATCAGAGCTTTGTCCTAAAGGATAGCGTATACATTTTTAAAATAAGCAAACAGACCCATTGATCTGCTTGTACATAAGACTGGAGCGTCTTTCAGTCTTCAGCTGGAAATGGAAAGGATGTAAATATCAGTTGGGAGAATTGCATTCACAAGGAAACTGACATTCCAATTTTTTTCATTCTGTTACTTTAGAAAGCCGTGATTTGGTTTTTGAATATATTGAACCAATGATTGTCTAGTCACATTATCTTGAAGGTTTTGTTCAGTTATTAGTTTGTATCTGGTGGTGTATTTTAGGGTAGTAGAACATTGTGTGACCTTGCTTTTACTGTTGTAGACTATCCCTAGTTATTAAATATTTATTGAAGTCCTAAAAGTAATACCATATTTTTCTGTGTATAAGACTATACTTTTGTCTAAAATCTTTAGACTAAAAATTGAGGGTCGTCTTACACACGGAAGTAAGCTGAGGAGAGAAAAACAAATGGAGGGGAAAGCAGAGATCAAAGCTATCCTGCAGCACTTTGATCCCTTTCCCCCCACCCTTGCTAAGCCCCACTTAGATTTCTTAATTTTGGATTAGAAAAGTGGGGGGGCGTGTCTTATACATGGGGGCGTCTTATACACAGAAAAATACGGTATATCCTTAATGCTACTTTCCTGAAGTGTCTAATCTTCAAAACACTTCGGCTGTATAACTTTCTTCCAATCAACTTGCAGGTGTAAAGCAATCTTAGGACTGTCCTTAAGTGGAGTTTTTAAAGAGATTCTCTATGACAACACTTATTATGATATGTAGTATAGCTTTCTTCCATATAAATAATAATTCTGTGCCATCAAGTCAATTCTGACTTATGGCAACCCTTTTCAGGGTTTCCTAAGCAGAGAGTGCTCATAAGTGGTTTACTGTTCCCTCCATTTGGGGGCATCCTGGGACTGTGCAGCTTGCCCAAGGCCACACAGGCTGGCTCTTCTGGGATGCAAAGTGGGGGGGGGCAGCACAGCTCAACCCTGGCCAGCACAGCTATTGGTGGAGGCTTCTGGGAATTGCAGCACAAGAACACTTAGGTCACCTAAGGCTGAGAACCACTAGTCTAGATAGACCAAGTGTATTATCTCATTATAACCACTATCCCAGAAAAGAACCTTGGTATTTTTCTTTTGATAAAAAATCCTTCTTGGGTGAATCCTCTGCAAGTGTGAGTTACAGTTGCAGTTCAGTGCATGCTTACAAGGAGTAGGTTTGATTAAACACAGTGGAACTTACTGTGTAAAGAATGCACCAGAATTAGCAGATAGATGTCCTGTGTCATATTTCATAAACAAATTAAACAGTTTGTGAAAGATTAAAAATGCATATATTGAAGTTTTATATGGAAAAGTTTCATTTGTCATATTGCTTAAAATAGCATTGACACAACAACAGAGATCTAAAAATCATCAGTTTTAAATGAACCATAACTTGAGATATATTTTTCAAAGTTAGGTACAGTAGTAGTTGAGCTGTGTTGAAGTAACTTATTGTAATCCTTTAAATAATTTTGAAATAAATAAGTTATCCAAAAATTAATAGATTGAGGTCAGCGTACATTGCGCAGCTGTAGCTGCACAATGGGAATAACATAAACACCAGTGGCAGATTGCCGCTGATTAAAGGCTTTCCATTTGCAATATCATGGTGTGTAACCTTTTACACAAAGTGATGAAATGGCACATGCCTTGAAAACACAAAGTAAAGTCTTTGATCAGCAGCAGTCTGCCACTGCTGATGATGTCATTCCTGTTGCACAAGTGGAACCTACTCAACCGCACTTCAGCCAAAGTCTACAAAATGTAATACACATCTGTCAGTAAAGTAATCCAATTTTTAATGAGCTTTTCTTTATCTTAAATAGTTTGCCAATTTTACCATGGTTGTGTGATTCCACATATTAATGTTTTTAATTTAGTGTGTTTTAGATTGCTTACAGGATCTAGCATATAATTGAATATCTGCTAAAATATTCATGTTAATTTTGAACTAGGTTATTTTAATACTTTGCAATAATGTCGCATAGTGGAAGGTACACTTTTCAGTTACACAGATTTGTTTGTTTGGAATAATGGAATTTTCTTATAAAGAATAAATCCAACACTAAATTATATATTCCTCATTTCAGATCGTGGAATTCAGGCCCTTTATGAAGCTGAGATCAGTGCATATGACAAGGGTCCTACCTGTTTTTTGATAGCTGAAGGAAGCAAAAAAAAATAGCTAGTCCTTTCCCCCAAAAGAGCCCTGTCGCAGTCAGCTCCTTTTGGGTTATCTGCACCAAATATTGCATGAATTCCTCGCTCTCTGAGCTCATGACAACATCTCTTTCTCAACACCATACAATTCCTGTTGTGCATTGCCTTCTACCCTCTCAAGTGCTTATAGCAGAGATTCTGTAGTCAACAGGAGTTCAGGTTATTTAGAAGGTTTGGTTTAATTTGAAAGATTAATAAGTAGATAAAAGCAGTACTAACTTAGTCTACTTAGTAATTTCAGCTCCAGATCCCATTCAGATGGGAGGACTTGACAGACTTAACAATGGTGAAAGCTTCAATTCTCTGTGTGTTGACTAAAAAGTAAGCCCCAATGAAATAGTAGGCAAAGTGGCTAAACATGCATAAAGACTGTTTTGGTAATCAGCAGATGTTACATCACTGTTGGGCTTTTTAATTCTTGTAGAAAGCAGTTATACCTTCTCCTAGCACTGACATGCTTTCTGGAAAATACATACATAAATTAGAGTGGAGAAGCTTTCCTAAGAAAAGTTGTTGACCTATGAGAAAATCCAATCAGAAGTGGCAGCCAAATGTGATCCAAACAATGACATAGTGGGGGGTAGCCTCAGGTGCAAAAATTCCTAAGGGCATAAAATTACAATTGGAAAAAAAGGAGAAATAATTAAAACATAGTGCACCTTTTCCTTCACACAGAAAATCTACCTATGTTCAAACATTCTAGACAATTTCTTTCCAATTTTAGTTTGCTCCTGAAGGAAGTACAATTGTGTCACCTCCTCAGACCGTATTTAAAGGTCCAAACAGCTGGTACTTGCTTGTTACAGTGAACTAGATAAATCAGAACAATTGTTTCTTATTTCGTGCCTCTTACTACCCTAACATTTCCTTCTCTTTTCACTCATTTTGCAATGCAGGCCCCTGCCCTGGAACTTTTGCTTTCAAAACAAAACTTGAAAACATGGCTTAATGTTTGTCCCATTACATTGTGGGAGGGTGCTATGCAAATCAAGGCTCGTCCCATATCCCCCTATACCCCATGTGCCAGCAACCCACACTGCCCCATTTTGCTCCAAGTCAGATCTGATGGTAAGTGAGGCCAAAGTGAAATGTAGAGAGAGTTCGCAACATTCTCTAGCTTTCTCCTCCCACTGTGCCATCCTGTTCTTCCTCAGTGACAGAGGGATACAATAGATGATTTGTTAGATTCCATCTAGGAATAAAGCTCTATGATTTAATTATTTTTGCATGTGTTTGAGTAGTTCCAAGAGTGTCTGCAGCATCTAGAGAAGCAGATGATGCTGGTAGCCTCCTGAGATAAAGCATCACTTACAATGTTGGTTTCCTGTCCCAGGTTGAAACAAACATGTCTGTTTCCTTTCTTTGCGGTGTGGCCCTGACATGATTCTTTCTCCATACAGAGACTCATCCCTGCCCTCTGAAACCTGATCCCATTAAGAGTTTGTCTGGCTCCCTCAACAGTGTGCCTTGTTCCAAGTTTGCTTCAATGATTAACAGTGGATCTCCAACTATCTTGGGAAAAAGAAGCTATGAGCAGCACAATGGGATAGAGGGTAATTTTTTCTGGTTATAACAGTTTGTCCTCATTGCAGAATAATTTTTAAGTCTGGAATCAGGCTGCTTCAGGAACTTTGTATATTAGATGTTGTTCATGGGAAGCCCCTATTTGTTGGCGTTATGTGCAATGAAGTCACTTCCAACTCATGGGAACCTTGTGAATTTCTGACTTACAAAAGGATATGTCTTTAACAGCCCTGCCTAGTTCTTGCAAATCAAGTGAGTGGCTTCCTTTATTTTGCAAATCAGTCCTACACTTAATCTTCTTTTCCTGCAGTCTTCAGCTATTGCCAGCATTACTGACTTTTCTAGTTAGTCTGATCTTATGATATGTTCAAAGTACCACCACTCCTCAGTTAATGACCTGCTTGTTTAACTACCACTTGGACCTGCAACTAGTTCTCCAGCACAGGGAATCCCGTTCCTCAGTCTTTGTCTCGTTCTGCCGCCAGACTCGTCGTCGTTGTTTAGTCGTTTCGTCGTGTCTGACTCTTCGTGACCCCATGGCCCAGAGCACGCCAGGCCCTCCTATCTTCCACGGCCTCCCAGAGTTGTGTCAAATTCATTCTGGTAGCTTCGATGACATTGTCCAACCATCTCATCCTCTGTCATCCCCTTCTCCTCCTGCGTTCACACTTTCCCAACATCAAGGGCTTTTCCGGTGAGTCTTCTCTTCTCAGGAGATGACCAAAGTATTGTAGCTTCAACTTCAAGATCTGTCCTTCCAGTGACCACTCAGGGTTGATTTCCTTCAAAATGCAGTCCAGGGGACTCTCAAGAGCCACCTCCAGCACCACAATTCAAAGGCCTCAGTTATTTGGCGGTCAGCTTTCTTTATGGTCCAGCTCTCACTTCCATACATCACTACAGGAAAAACCATAGCTTTGACTATTCCTCCTCAGTTTCTGCCATCAGAGTGGTATCATCTGCATATCGGAGGTTGTTGATATTCTGGCAATCTTAATTCCGGTTTGGGATTCCTTCAGTCCAGCCTTTTGCATGATGTATTCTGCTTATAAGTTAAATAAGCAGGGGGACAATATACAGCCTTGTCATACTCCTTTCCTGCCAGACTAGCCAGGACCAATGCCCAAGCTTCCCAAAGTGGGCCCCTTCCATCTTGTGGCTCCCCACAGCTCTCAAACCAGCCAGGAACAACGTGGAAGCTTTTATTTGTTTTTTTCTCTCTTTTTTGAAGAAGAAGAAAGCAAGATATTTATTTATTATTTTCATTTATATGTCAGTCTTTTGTTCGAATACACCCAGGATGACATATGTTTCAGTACAGCCATTTTTTTATTTATTTTCAAAACTATTGGGAAATAGGGAAGGAATACAAAAGGTAAAGGGCAGTGGAAGGGGTGGGAAAAGGGTTTTGAGTATAAGAGAACATCAGATATATAATCATTCAATCTTTTCATATCAAGTATATAAACATATAATCTATTCATATTCCAGTAAAAG